CCCCCCCCCTTTTTCCCTCCTTTTTTTGCTCGCTCTCTCTTTGCTCTCTCTTGTCCCTCTCTTTTTGTGTGCTCTCTTCTCCCTCTTTTTCTCTCTCCCTTTTCCCTCTCCCCTTTTTTCCCTCCCCTTTTTTCCTCTCTCTTCTCCTTTCCCCCCTCTCTTTTTCCCCCTCTCTTTTCTTTTCTTCTGGGACAGAACTGAGCCCGCAGTGAGCAGGGCAGCCTCATCCCCCTTTTCCAGAGGGACCAGGCTGCACCAGTGGATGCTGGACAGCAGTGAGAAGATGCAGCCAGCCTGTTCAGGAGGGAACTGGGACCAGATTGAGGGTCCAGTTTTGCTTTTAAAGAAGTGCAAGGTCAGGTTGAGCTTCTGGCAGCATCCCCTGGAGCATGCAAGGTGCTTTTTGCAAACCTTTAGCCTAGAGGAGGCTAAAACAAGGGGTTTTCCCTGCTCCAAAATATTTCCCCCCTCCAAAATATTTCACCAGATGGTATGTTTCCTATCCCTGCCTGGCCACTTGGTCAGTGGCAGAGCTGGGCATGCTGGGTCGGGATGCTCTAGTGCCACCTGTGCCACCAGGCCACCCTCTGAGCCCTTATTTTGGAAATCCCGGGTCCCTTATTTTGGGATGCCCCAGCCCTGGCTCCTTCCCCAGGAGCTGCCAGCACAGAGGTGTGCAATGAAACGAAGATCATTGACTTAATGAGGGCTGGCGGCGGTGGCCCCATGCACACAGAGGTCCTGGGGGATTGCTGCTTTCCTCTGCTGCGCTATCATGAGCTGCCTAATCACAGCAGAAGGGAGAAATGGGATTTTTTCCAGCTGGGCATCGTGTCTGCACATGCTTGGGGCACCCCAGCATGGTGCCACTGCTGAAACCCTCCTGGCTGAGCTGAGCTGAGGCAGCTCATCAGGGTTCATGATGCTGCCCCCCAGCTCCAGGGGCTGCCCTGGGGATGCTGGGCAGCTCTGGGGGGCTTGGATTGCATCCCTGCTGCCCACTGTCACCCCACTTATCTCCTCCCAATTTGGGGGAGAGGCTGTGGGAACACCGATCTTTTCCATCTGTCCTCCCCACAGGTGGGAGAGGAGTAGCAGTCACCGGCATCCCTTTCGGATGCGCTGAGGACATAGGGGGAGTCCTGCACCCTGCCGGGATGCCGCACCCTTGCCCCAGGGGAGCAGAGCCGGGCGCAGCGGGGTCCCGTCCAAACACGCCAGGGCGGGTTGGCAGGCTGGCTCCTTTCATCAGGTTGATGGGAGCACATAAGCTTCGGGGGGTCCATATGGAAACTCTGACATACGGATAAAAATGCATCGCGCATTCAATTAGTCGTGGGCTATTCCACAACATGCGCCCCTAACAGCATCAGTTGTGTGGCAAGCCTATTAGCAACAGCATCCTTGCCGTGCCAGCTACCATTTTAAGGGGAAAACACACCTGTTTTGCTTAAAAAGTAGCATGGGGAATGTTGCGTAAAGCAAAATAGACATGAGCATTCGTTTCAGTGCTTTTCCTGAATATTTTAAACTAGAGCATCAGGAGAGTTGCATCCCTTCCTGCTCCATGCTGTGGGACCACATTACCATAGATTGTGGCTTCCCAGCCATGCAGCATCCGGGCTAGGGGGCCGAAATTGTCACCTCCCTGTCAATGTCCATTCTTGAGGACACTTTTTGAGCCATGACGGCAAAAGCAGCATGGCAGTGTGGTCCACGGGCATGCTGCATCCTGGCAGGACACCACGGACTTGGTGGTCCCTAGGGATGAGGGCTCGTCATCTCCAGAGCTGGGCACCATTGGGGTGGGGAAATGGGCCAGATAAGTGGATTTTGGGTGATTATTTTTAAGCTTTGGCAAAGAGCGACTGAATTTTTGGGGGCGTGGGAGGGTGCCAGCACTGCCTGGGGAGATTTTCATCCCGGTCTTCATTAAAACTCAAGTACTCAAGGTTACAATTGCTCAGACCTCCTGGCTTGCAGATGTCACTGGCGCGTGATGCTCACGGCGCCGGGGGGACCACAAGTGTTCCACTCACCGTCCTGAGACAGCACCTGGGGGGTCCTGGCCCTGTAACCGAGCTGGGAAAATGGCTCAAAAGCACTTCACTTTTGGGACTTGTTGTGTTTCCGGCCGCTGGAAATCTTGGAAATGTTTTCTGGGATTTTTTTTCCCTGCTCACTTGGTTTTGCTCTGAGGTTATAACCCTTCCCTGAGACCTGGACAGGGTGACTTGTGTATCTCACCGAAGCTGGGCATCTGTGGGGACCATGTCCATGTGTGACCCCGCCATGTATGGCTCTCGACACCGGTAATATAACCAGAGCCACCAAGCAGGGAGAAAGGATGTAGGATTTTCTGGGCAGGAAGGAGTTAAAAAGCTGGAAGCAGCAGCTGGGACAGGGAACAGGGTGCGTCTGAGGGCTGGCTTGGTTCCCAGAGGTTTTGGGGGACTCAGGTGGGTCCCCAGCTGGGCGGCAGGGTCCGTGGGGGGGCCGTGCCGGGTGCAAGGAGGCTGGCGCTCGGGAGAGGAGGGTTTGGCAGGGCCAGCGACGCGGCCACTCCTCCCTCTCTGCTTGGGTTTGAAGGGTTGTTTGCTGGAGCCGGGGAGGAGAGAGAGCAATGTGAGCGCTCCAGGAGTCTGGCCGGGGCAAAACTCCTGCCTCTTCCCTCCTTTCCCTCCTCTGGCCTCTCTGTTTAGTCCTCCGAAGCAACGGGGCTTGTTTTCCCTTCCTAATGGCTCCGTCCCCACCTTGCTTGGGGTTTCTCCTCCTCCTGGCTTGCTGCTTCTCCTCCTCCAAAACGCAGCTCCTGGACTGGATTTGGGACAGCACGAAGACCACAGGAAGCCCAGCGGCACCCGGCGAGGGAACCATGGCACCAGAGCTGCTTGCATCTGTGGCTGCTCCCACCCCCAGCACGTCCACAGGGACGTGGGGTGGCCAGGTGGTGGGGGACGTCACCACCCCACAGCGCCAGGAGCTGGATTCTGGCACAGCAGCACCTGCGGGTGAGGGGACTGAGGCCAAAACCACCAAGCAGTGGGACAGGAATGCAACAGGACTGGCGGAGAGCACGGCATGGTCAAGCATCGCTCCTCCCCGCAGCACGTCACCTGCCCGTGGCCAGGATGTGGGCAGCAGCTCCACCGAGGACCCGCAGCTCCTGGGGACAGGGAGCACGGAGGACCTGCAGCTCCTGGGGACGGGGCCCCCTACAGCGACAGGGACATGGGTGTCTTTGCAGAGACCGGCGGGTCCCCGGCCAGGTAGTGCCCCTTTCCCTTTCTCACCAGGTGATGGTACCCACAAGCAGGCGGTGCCTCCCTGGGACCCCATGGCGCAAATGCCACACCGCCACCATGGAGCATCACCTGCCCCACCGAACCTGCGGCACGACACTGGCCGCTGGGGGCTGGTGCTGGCTGGTGTGAACAGGAGCCGGAGCCCTCCTTTGCCTAACAGGAGGGTGGCTAACACTGTGGATCCTCCTCTTGCCAATAACTCTGGTGCTCGCGAGTTTGATTTACTAACTGCCACTGCGCAGCTCTACAGTAGTGGCGCAGGGCTTGCATCCTTCTTACCCAGACTGATGCCACCAGCTGGCCATTGCCTGCCCATCCCGACCCACCTGCCCTTCTGCAGTGTGCTGGGCACCGACCATTTCAGATTACCGAATTACCTCCGCCATGGCAGCGAGGCGGAAATTCGGGCGGCTTTGCATGAGTGGGAGGGGTTGCTTGAATCGCGGTGCCATCGCTACGTGGAGTGGTTTCTCTGCTTGCTCCTGCTCCCTGGGTGTAGCGCCTCGGTCCCCGTAACCCCCCCGCCGTGCCAGGGCTTCTGCGAGGCCATCAGAGACCAGTGTTGGACGCACTTGGCCAGCGGGCGCCTGCCTCTGCCTTGTGATGCTCTCCCCGAGGAGGATGAAGGGTATTCTTGTGTCTTTATTAATGCTTCTGCAGGTAATGTGGCTGGATGATGTCCATGTGTGTGTGTCTCCCCTCCTCAAACTCCTCTGGGTTTTTAGGCGACGAGGGATGCTTCTGCCTTGTCCCCATGGGATGCTGCTGAGTCCAAAATCACTTTCCATCCAGCCTTGGCTTCTTCAAACAGGGACCACCAGCAGGTTTTGGCTCCCTCCACAAGGCTGAGCATCACCATCCCCTTCTCGGGCTGTTTCACCCCCAGTGAAACACAGTGGCCTGGTTAAAAGGCAATGTCCTAGTGGCCAGGACAAGAGATGCTTCCCAAGAGCATTGTGCTGGGATTCGGGGCTGGTTTGCAGAGTGTGGCAAAGCCAAAGGGCTGTGGGGTGCCCCTCCCAGGAGTGGGGCACTCGCAGAGCTGGCAGCTCCCTGCAGGGATGGGGGAAGGACCAGGACCCTGCACCCGCCCAACCACAGTAGCATCAGGGACTGTGGCGGTGAGGAGGCTTCAAGGTGACCTGCGGCCGTGCTTGCACGCTTCCCTCTCCCAGAGTGGCCCTTTGCCTTGGGGTTAATGATTTACCCAACAGCTAATGTTTGATCCCCCCCTGCTTGGCAGGCAGGAGAGGTTGCTTTGCCTCAGGCTTCATCATTAGGTGGTTGTGACCCTCATGCAAGTCAGCCAGGGACCAAGATGTGCCTTTTTGTGGGGCTGGGGGGGGGGAGGGAGTGGGGGAGAGCTGGCACTCAGAGAAATGCATGTCAGGGTGTAAGCAAGAACACAGTTTGGGATGAAAGCAGGAGCTCCCCCTGCTCCCCCTGCTCCCCCCGCCAAGCCCTCTGAATGGGGCTGTGTTCCCACGCCGGCCCCCTGCGCCCTCGGGTGATGGCCTGGCGCTGCCGACCAGGAGCGGCGAGACACCCACTGCCATCAGAGGGGCAATTTATCTGGGGGCCAGTGGACAAGGGTTGCACACATGGTCCCTGTGGCATCAAAGCAGCTCTGTTCGCTGGCCAACCCCAGGCGGGTGCGGCGGGACATGGGGATGCTCAGGGGCAGGCGTGCGCTCCCAGATGGGCAGTGTTGGGAATGGGTGGGGGACATGGGGACTGTGGTGCACCCCATGGAGTGACTTGAGATGCTCCTGAGTGCCGGGGGTCCCTTGCATCCCAGCTGGGATGGGATGCGTGGGGCCACACTGGCAGCCCTGGCTCGGGCTAGCCAGGAGGCTCATGGCAGAGTGGGAAGGTGGCTTGGAGCACCCCTGAGGCCTTTCCGACAGCAACAGGAGCAAATGGCTGGGTTGCTGCAGCCAGAGGCATCCCCACAGCCATCTCGTGCCAGCACCCATCCCAAAACCACTGCAGCATCAGCCGTCTCTGACTCTGTGCTCCATGGTAGGTGCTGCCAGTTTGCTGCAGGGCGGAGGGGGTGCCCTTTGGAAAAAGCAGGCATGGCCTGAAAGGTCTGGGGTTGAGAAGGGCCACTTGGCTTTTGCAGGGAAGCAGCCATTTGAAGGTGTCTCCCCTTACCCCCCCCATCCCCAGACCCCATGTGGCCTCACAGCCCTGGCCTCTGCCTGCTTTGCATGTTGCGCAGGGGAAAGATGTGTCCCCATTTGCTTTGGGAAGCGCTGGAACCCAGCTCCCCTTCAGGGCTTAGGGGCGAGTGGCATGTTTGGAGAGGAGGGAGGACCCCAGAACCAGCTGAAACACCAAGGGGAGCATGGTTGAAAATTGCATTGCTAACAAAAGCCTCTTTCAGCCTGTCCCCGTCATCCTGAGCCCTGGGGGCAGAGGATGGCTTGTCTGGCTGCAGAAATTGCAGCACCAGCTCTTACGCTAGTGCAGACCCCTGGGAGGAAGGTCTGGTTTCCTCTTCCCTTAAAGCTGCTGTGAATTTGGCTTCCTCCAGCCCAAGATAAGCTCCATCCTTGCATCCTGGTGTTTGTGATCGGCTTGGCCACAGCTGCCTGCTGCAGGGTGGCTGGTGTGGCTGGGGACGGTGCGGCTGGGGATGGGACAGTGGGAGCGACCTTCTGGGGTGCCTGAGCATGGGGTGTCTCAAAAGTGGGTGCCAGGCTGGGGCTCATTGCAGGTCCAGGGGAGCCCCACTCGCTTGCCCCATCATTTCTGGTGTAGGGCTGCACACATCTGGGTGCGAAAGGATGCTGGGCTCCCAGATCCAGGGGTCCCTGTGGCCAGTGAGGCAGAGGGGATGCGCTGAGCCCTTCCCCTCCGAGTGGGTTGGGGATGCCCCATGGGGAAGCCCAATCCTAATGCAGGGCAGATGAGGGCGTTAGGGCTGGTTCAAGACTGGCAGGGAGGTTTTCTCCCAGCTAGGTGCTCAGTTTTGGGATGCCAAACTTGGGAGGGACTGGGGGCTTGAGGGAGCAGGGTGGGCACAGAGTAGTTTCAGAGCAGCAAGCTCAGGAGAAGATCAGTGGGTCTGGGGTCTGGCAGAGAGAAAACTTGCCCCCACCTCTAATTGGTGGCATTTCTAATGTCCCCGCTGCCTAGTCCCTGTCATGGGGCTGGCACTGGCACTGGGGCTCAGCAGCAGGGGGAGGTTGGGGCTGCTCCGTGTGTGCAGGTACCCCCGGGCTTTGGAAAAGGCACCCAGGGTTTCATCTCCTGCCACCGTCCCAAGAGATGTGTTTTCCTTCCAGGCTGGACAAGGCTGGGCTGATTTCTTCTTATTATCCCCCCCACCCCCCTTCTTTTTATTTTTTTAAAGAGCTCTGGAGGAGAATGCCTGGCTCCAGAGCAGGGTGGAGGTTCCTGGCTGGTCCTCCCAGGCTCAACACACCTCTGATAACCCCCCATTGCTCACATGAAACACCAGGGATGGAGTTGGGGACATTGAATTGTCTCAGCTCCTGACTCGGGATGGGGCTAAAATCGGCACCAGGCATCTGTTCTCAGTGTGGAGCCCTTGGCTGTTTCGGAGCTGGGGTGGTTGGATTTCCTCACTCCCGGGAAACGCAGAGTTAAAAAGCACCCGGTGTGCTCAATCCCATCGAGTTGGCACCCGCCCCGAGCAGTTGACATAGGAGAGGAGGAATCCAGCGCCCGGTGTGTGGGCGATGAGGGGATGTGCCTGCTGCCAAAACAACAGGAGCTGGCGTACAGAGGGCTGGCTCGCCCCGGCCAGATGTTCAGCTGCGTCGGGTAGGAGAGACCGTCCTGAGCAGAACTTCCCCAGGCGCCTTGAGAAAAAGGAGTTGGGAAAGGAGGCGAGCTCCAAACTGAGATCATCTGGGAAGCTGACGGGGCACGCTGGCTTGAGCCCCATTCCCAGCGTGTTGCAAGGGGATGGCTCTGATTTATTCCCAGCCAGGGTGACCCCTTGAGGTTGTCCTGGGATTACGTGGGGGGTCACCGTGACCCCCGAGCAGGTACGGATGCAACACACTTCCATGGGGCTCTGTGGTTGTTCAGCATCCCAGTGCTCTGGCAGCATCCCCCACTGCCTGCACCATGTTGCTACCATGTACAAGATCCCTTTGGTTTTCTCCCATCTCAGGGATGTCCTGGCCATGGTCAGAGGGTCAGCAGCAGGGAGAGGGTGAGGTTCTGGGAGCCGCATCCCAACTGTGTGGTGGGAGTGGCTCAAGGAGCTTTGGTGCCTTGGCCAACCTGCAGCCTGAAGGAAAATCCCAGGCCCTGGGGAGGATGAGCAGAGGGAGCGGCTGAAGAGTGCCATTTGGGGGAGGCATGGCCAGTGGTGTCCTCCCAAGGCACCTTGCTGAGGGTGACCATCCTTGCCGGGCTGGTTGTGACCATCCCCTTTCCCTTCCTCTTGCAGAGAACCTGAGCACTGAGGTCAGCCTCCTGGAGCTGATTGGAGACCCCCCGCCAGAGGAGATCCTCAAAATTTATGGCCCCGACAACAACCCCGGCTACGTCTTTGGCCCCAATGCCAACACGGGCCAGGTGGCCCGGTACCACCTGCCAAGCCCTTTCTACCGGGACTTTTCCCTCCTGTTCCACATCCAGCCCACCACCCCCCGGGCCGGCGTGCTCTTTGCCATCACGGACTCCTCGCAGAGCATCATCTATGTGGGCGTCAAGCTCTCAGAGCTGTGGCTGGGCAAGCAGCAGATCATCTTCTACTACACAGAGCCGGGCTCGCCAAGCTCATATGTAGCAGCCACCTTCACCGTGCCCACCTTGCTCAACCAGTGGACGCGCTTTGCCATCAGCGTGGAGGAGGACGAAGTCATTCTCTACCTGGACTGTGAGGAGCATGAGCGGGTCCACTTCGAGCGCTCCCCAGATGAGATGGAGCTGGAAGATGGCTCAGGGCTCTTTGTTGCTCAGGCTGGAGGAGCTGACCCAGATAAATACCAGGTAAGGCCTTGCGTCACTCCAAGGAGCTTTTCCAAGGAGAATCCTGGCTGAGGCTGGAGGGACATGACACCAGCCTGTGCCTGTTGAACCAACCTCTTTGCCCAGAAGACAAACCAGTGGCCACGCTCCATATGCGTCACTGGGGAAGGAGGTGCTTGAGATGGCGGGGAAAGGTAGCTTCAGATGCCACCAACTTTATTGTCTTGGGACTCACCCAGGCAAAGCTCTCAAGGTGGGCTAGCAGGAGGAGACGGGGTTGTGCTACAGCAGCCACCATTGCCTGTACCTTTTCCAGCAAACGCTGAGCCTCCTCGAGTCTCTCCTTTGCTAAAAATACCCAACTCCTTTGGTGGAGGAGCTGGTTTGGCAGGTAAAATGTCTCTCTTAGCTGGAAAAAATGCTTGGGCCAGAGCATATCTTTGTTGGCTGACGTTGGGCGGTATCTACAGGAAGACTTTGGAGAGCAAGGAGAGAAGGTGATAGGCTCAGCCAGTGATTTGAGCATGACATGCTCTAGATAAGGTTTATGGAAAGTGTGGGGAAAATGCTCAGCTGATGTGGAAATCCCCCACTGTGCTTGAGGAGAAGAAAGTTCAGGATTGCACCCCCGGGTTTCTCATGGGTTGAGCATGGTTTGCCCAGCAACACTCTGCTGAGTGGAGCAATGCTTTTCCCAGGGAGCTTTGCAAAGCATGTTTCTGAGCTTAAACATCATCTTGACTAATGAGCAGTGCTGCAGCAGTCCCAGTTAAACTGCTTCGGGCAGCGAAAGTTCCTCTCGGAAGGGTTAATGATTGATGGGCTGGGGACCAGTTTGTGCCGGGATTTGGGTTGGTCCCTTTTGCTCTTGAAGAGCAATTTTTTGCTCTTGAATCTGCTGGGAGGGCCAGGTCATGGCCGTGGAGGAACTCCTCTCCCCAGCTGGAGAGGGTTTGGCACCAGTTGGAAGGCAAAGCAACAGCTCGAAGCAGAGCAAAGCACTCCTGCCTTTCTAGCATATGATGTTCCCGAGCTTGCCAAACACCTGATCCCACCTCCCACCCCCGGTTTTCCCACGGGGAATAGCTGGCCATTGAGGGATGGAGGCTGACTGCCTCGGCCAGCCGAGATGGGAGCAGGGAGCACGGGCTTGGATGTCTCCTTGGCATCTGACTGCCATTCCATCTGACTGTATTTCCATCGCCGACCAGCCCAGGCTTGCATTATCTAGAACTAACAGGGCGTCAAGCTGATTAAAATCTGGCCCTCAGTCAAGCCGCGAGACAAGCTGCTCATGGGCAGCTGGAGGGCTGCTGGTGGGCTCCCAGCTGGCATCTGTGCTTCTTCCCAAGTTGCTTTTGTGTCACTGGGATGAAACCTGAAGGGGTGAAGCCTGCAGGTAATGCAGAAGCCCCTGGGACAGCAGATATCAAGGGGGTTACTGTAAATGGGGTCTCAGTGGGGGTCTGGCAGGAAGGTTGGTTTGCAGCTGGATGCATGATAAGACCTACAGTGCTGCTGCCCCCTTTATTGGGGCAAAAGGGCTGCAAAGGGCCTGTATAACCATCCCTCATGGGAATGCCTTGGTTCAGGGCTGGAACCAGATTATTTCTGATGCCTCTAGCAAGCCCCAGGACCAGGAAGGCCAGGCTGGAGTGTTGCATTTATCAAAGCTTGTGCTTGATGCTGGTGCTCAGCGGGGAGGAGAGGGATGGATTAGAGCCGGCTGTCACCAGGGCAGCCAGCTGGAGGAGGTCACAACGCACCTCGGGGGCATTTGCTTGTGGGAGGGATTTATATATATATATTTATGATATAGATATAAAAATAAAATATATTTATAATATATTTATTATATATCTATAATATAATGTATAGCTATCTGCTGTGCAGCAAGATATGAAATATCTGCAAAACATTTCTAAGACAAGAGCTGAAATAACTGGTTGCTCCCTTGTAGTTCTACTGTTAGTTTGTATCCCCACAATAATATAAAACCAGTAGCATGAATTACCAATACAGTAGGGATTTGAAAGTTATTCTGTTGGAATTGTAGCTATATTGATGGACTTAACAAAAACTGACTTCAGTGCAGCCTATTTAGTCATCAGCAAGAATTCTCTTGGTGAAAGGGGCTTTCTGAAAAGCGCCGATTTTCTGAATGCACTCTTCCATTTCCTGGTTACGCCAGTACAAAATGCTTGGAAAATCTGTGAATGGCCAAATATTTACAGCTGTTCTCGAGCTGAAACAAGTGCTCATGGGTTACAGCTCAGAATTTGATCCAAACCTTAGAAAACACAAATGGTTTGTGAGAGTCTATAGCTGTCCTGTTGTACACTAGGTAACTTACCTATGCTGATCAAACCTATCAAGAAAAGGAAATCTTAGACGTATAAGTAGAAAAATGATTTGCAATAGACCACAAACATCCATAGACCCCCCAAGAAGTCTTGTTGTCTATATATGTATCCTGCATTGTAGGCCATATTTCCCATTCTGGTAGGTCATTATTTCTAAGAGTGGAATGAAAGGTTTTGTGCTATAAATGTATGTAAACATTTGTATCTGCAGTTCTGCCCTGCTTCTGAGATAATCTTTAACTTTTCTCAGCCTCCCTTTTTATTTCCCAAAATATGTTCTCTTATACTCTATATTTCCTTGTGCTGTCTTCCTATTTGTATCACCTCAGGATATTCCTGCTCCATATTGACTGGATTTGTCTATTATGTAGGTTCAGGAAGAAGCATTTATTATACATAACATTTTTAAATCTTTGGGTTGGGCTGCAGGGGAGATTCATATCAGCAAAGTACAAACATACCAGAACCAACTTCTCTTATGTAGTATACGGTTTTCTCTGAGGCAAGGGAAAATATGGTGTCTGAGATATGCTGCTGTATCTAAATATAAGAGAGGGGAAGGGATGAATAAAAGAAACCTTTGATAACTCAGGAAAATATTTTCTGAACTTGCTACTGTGAATATGAGTAATTTTGTGACACAATGCTATATTATTAACTTAAACACCTTAAATTCCTCTCTAACTAGGTCTTGTGTATGGTATTTCACAAATTCTGCCCCAGGTACATTACCTTGTGCTTTCCCAATGGTTAAGATAAAAGCTCCCTTTATTAGAACGTCAGGTCATTGCAGAAAAACAAAAAATTATAAAGGCACAGATTGTTGACATTTTTTCCCTTATCCCTCTCAAACTGAACCTAGTAAAAGCTCTTGGGGCAAGCTGGAGAAGAGAGTTGTCCATTAGAACTTCATCTTCATGGTAGGAGCATCTATGATAACAATAACGGTAAAGGTGTATCATTTTTATTTGAACTAGAAGCAGTATTTTTCATGTATTGAAGAAATTCTGGAAGAAATAAATGTCTCATTCCAAGTAGTGAAGACTAAAGATAAATGGAAAGACACCTCTCATTTAATAAGTGGAGATTTCCAGATTAAATACTGCCCAGACCTTGATATACCTCTCTTTATGAATTTACTCAGCAGATGCAGGCTGGAAGAAGCAAAATATTTACTATGGATGTGATTTTTTGAAACTCATGTCTGAGTATCAGAGAAAATAAAAAACAGTTGAATTCCTTGTTTCAAGTCAAGACAATTTCAGTTGTCTCTAAGGTAAAAAAAAAATAATCTAGGGAGCCAGTTATCCAGGAAACAAGATTATTCAGTAATGTGACATTTCTGTACGTACTTTATTGTGTAATGGTACACAGTCATAGAAACAATGCCCATTAATTTCTGAGAACCAAACTGTAAATGTCATTTACCATAAATAGTTTCATAAATGACCCTTTATGTTACATGGAACCTTTTTTTACTGAAAAGTTTATATCAGCATGAAGAGGGATCATTCTTGATTTGAACTTTAAAATGTTTAAGTAGAAGATGACACTAACCGAAGACACTGAGCAAATAGAGTGAATACCTTTGCTGGTATAAATTCTGAGTGTATATTATAAATAATATAAATTTATAATATAATGTATTTATAATATATTCATATTATAATATCACAGCCAGCCTGGCTGAACTGCAACTGCCCCTGATTCTTGTTTTCTTAAACCCATTGTGTTTCCTGAGCGCGGCTCTTTCCTGGCTGTGGTGTGCTGTGCTTCCAAGAGAGCCCAACTATTGTTTTAGGTGTCTTGCCCAGAGAAGAGACACCAAGCAGGAGGTATCTGCCTTCTCTGAGCTCGCTTCCCAGCATGGTCCCCGGCACCTTCCCACCAAGATCAGAGGGATGGGCAGCATCCCATCCTGGCAGCATCCCATCCCAGCAGTGTCCCCATGCCCCATCCCAGCAGCAAGGACCTGGGCTGGGTGAGATGCGCTGGGTGACCCCGCTCGCTGTGGGAGCCGTGAGATTCAGGGTGGTAGCCACACACCCTCCCCGGTCAATACAGGGATGCTTCCCTCCCGGGCAGTGCAGGTAGCTTGGCTGCGGGGGTTTGTCTGGAGGCAGCAGCCTTAGGAAGGAATTTGTGGCAGTTACTTGTATAAACAAGCAGTTTGGATGCACACAGTGCTTGCAAAACCCAAATAAATGATAAGGAAGTGCAGATTAGCCTAAGAAATACAAAACCAGGGCTGCAGTGGACTGGGACCTGCCAGCGGCCCTTGCTTGCGGCAGAGAAGCTGTCTGCAGCAGGGAAGCCCTCTGGAGATGGGGAATGAGGACCACGGACAAAGCGTTGCTGTCTGGCTGGCCAGATCCTGGCCGCCACATCTGCTTGGCCGGCCTGGTGCTGCTGCTGGCACAGGGCTTTTCCCCATGGCTTGCCGAGCCATGCTGGTGGCGCTGGGGACCGGGGCTGCAAGGCTAAACCTCGCTGTGCCTGGACATGGATGTTCAAATGGGAAGCACTGTCCACACCGGGCGAAAGAGCCTGATGTACGCAGGGCACTCAGGGATGTGATGGCTGGGTGGCAGAGCAGGTCACATCACACTGCGGGGTGGCTCGTGGCATGTGTCTGTCCATGGTGCATGCCCATCTGTGGCAGCCCTCAATGTGGTTTCCCTCCAGGGGGTGATTGCCGACTTGAAGCTGCAAGGGGACCCACGGGCAGCCGAGCGCCAGTGTGAGGAAGAGGAGGATGACACTGAGGAGGTGAGCGCTGGAAGCCCGTCTGGGGCAGGCTGGGGGGCTGCTGTCCCAATGCTCCCGGCTGACCCCTGTCCCCTTTTTGCCGGGCAAATGCAGGTCTCTGGTGATTTTGGCAGCGGGGCAGAAGGTGGACACCAAACCTTGGGGAAAGACAGGGTGAGTTAGTGCCCGCGGGTGTTGCACTCAGTGGCAGGACCCCAAGATTTTAGGGATGAGGAGGGCTGCGTGCCCTCCGTGGTCGAGGTCCCGGGATGCCCGATGGTGTCCCAGCACCTGTCCCTTTTGAGAGGGCGCCAGGAGGTGAACAGCACTGCAGTGTCCCCTTATTGTTGGCACAGGGTGTTCCGGGACTGGTGGATGCTGTCCCTGTCACCTCTCCCCCTGTGGCAGTGGGCAGCGGGCCGAGGAGCGGCGGGGGCCCCCCG